ATATATATATATAATACTCCAAAATTGAAAATATAAACTTATATTATTGGTCAAGCAACTACTAAGACTAGTTACACTAAGATAGCTTTAAAACAGCTCCAACATGGTTCTCAACACATACTCTTTTAGTTTATTCTTGTCTTGTTTCCCATAAAAAGTATGATTATCGTAATTCAATCAAAAGTAATCATGCAAGAGTAAACTTGGATTCAAAAGAAACAACATAGTATAAAACTATAAAACTAACTGTACATAACTACAACAACTCAACAGTCAACACAACACAAATGCTTTGCTTAATCAACATAGATTAACATATTAACAAAAGTTCACAACTTAACACCAAGATAACATTTTAAATCACAACACAACAATACAACTTCTCAACATAACCACATAGCATATGTACAATACAACATATGCACAACACAATAATTATATGCATCATCATGTATTTCAACTAAGATATCTTACAACACAAAATTAATCAACTAATCATGACAACACTTAAATTAATAAAATTAACAATATTAATAAAATTGCACAGTATTATAATTAATATTTTAAACAATTTATTATTAATAAAAATAAATTTTGAAAATTGCATTTATAAAAAAAACTCAAAAATTTAAAGGGGGCTTAACCAACTTTTTTTTTAAACATTTTTTATGCTTATTATTTATTTTCACATAAACTAATGTATTATGCATAAATTTAATCGTATATAAATTAATGCGAATCAAATTAATGTTGTACTATATTAATAAATAATAGCAAAAGAAACAATAAAAAAAAAAACAGAAGTAAACAAGAGTAAAAAAGTAAACAATAAAATAATGTAAATAAAAGAATATCACTAGTCTACTTTGTACAATATTCAATTTTATATTCTTCCAAATGTTTAACCTTTACATAAAGGGGTGTAAAATCAATACTTTTATATTTTTATGCACTATGGGCCCTATTTGTCAATTTGATGATTCATGGAAAGTGCTGGGTGTATCTATATTTTTAATAGAGTTAAAATAATTGTTATTGATGTAAGTTTAAACTATAATGCAATATCTGAGTGCGCTTATTTTATTTTATTATTTTTTGTTTTTGACATATATCTTCGTTTACAAATAATTTTGTTGCAGACCTGCTCACTAATATTTCATCACATTCTTAATTGTTACTTTTATTTTAGTTAATACAAAATGAGCAAAAATAGATAACGAGTTAAGATATCAACAGATATTAGTATATAACTAATTTACACTAATATTAAATAATAAGTAAATTAATTTTTTTTATAAACCCATATAAAAAATTAAGAAAAAGAGTATCATTTTATTATTTTCAATACCAAAATATTTAAATTAGTTGTGTTAAAAATTTTCCTTAAATTTAGTTGCCTTATGTAAATAATAATACTCCATATCATTTTGGAGTGGATTGTGATGATTGAAAAAAAAAAACAATATAGAAAGACAAAACTAAAAAAGAAAAAATAATATATATAATAATTGATGTGATGGAACATGATAAGAAAAAGAATACGATAAAAAAAAAACAAGTTGATGTGTATTTTCTATTAATAATATATATGAATAGATGATTTTTAATGAAAATAATAAAATATCGAGCACAATAATATTATGTTTTTTTTAGAATGATGAAATATTTAAAAAATGAAATAAAAAAAATTCGATCCTTTTGTTGAAGTCTAATTAATCAACAGATTTACTTTGATAAAATAACTTCTCAAACTTATAGTATAATTTTTTTTTTTATATATTATACATACATATATTTAATCTTAATATATAAGTATATAATAATTATATCATTGAATGTGTGTATCAATTAATATGAATTGTTTCTGAATATAAAAATTAAGGTTATTTATAAAATAAAATTAAAAAAGTAATTTATATAATTTTTTAGTTTATTTCAATAACTTTTGTAAAAAATCTATTGTGATACATTTTTATTTTAATAGTATTTATAACTTGTTAATAAGTCCTTATATATATTTAATATATTTATTTAACCACATTCTTAATATAATAAGTGAAAATAAAAATAATGTAGGATTGTATTCTTCAATATGTTATAATAGCTAAAGTCTCTTTGAAGGTAGTGTGATAATGTTTTTCTGATTCTTTGAATTGTCCATTGGCATGTCCACTGTAAAATTTCTTATTGTTGATCTTCCAAACAAAAATAATTCTCCAAAAATGATCACTTGCATTAGTTTGATGGATTCTTTTCCCTACTTCAAGAATTTTTAGTGTTGGAGGAGTTTGAGAAATCTTTTTTAACTCTTGAACAACTCGAGTTTATTTTGATCACAATAGTGGAGAATTCTTTTTCAAGAACTTCGACAATTGATGGATATATTTAGTTACTTGAGGAATGAAGTCCCAAATATGATTGAGAACATAAAAAGCTTGACAAATCCAATTTGATTTTGTGGGTTCAATGAGACCTTGCCTAAGTATAATTCATTGCATTCTTTTTTGGCTAATTGAAGATCTAAAAGTCATTTATAGATGAGTGACCTTAATTTGTAGGATTGACATCTTCATTAAGTTTGAAAAGAAGTTGAATGAAGAAATCTTTATTCTTCCATAAAGGATTGAAAATTCTTCATGACTATTAGCACACAGATAGACTATCTTACTTTGTATTTCAACAAGCTTAGAAAGAGTCTCAATTAAGGAGAGCAGTCTCATTACTTCAGTGAAGGATTTGAATTCTCTTTGAACTTTATCACAATGGGATTGCATGATCTCCTTTTCCATTGATCATTGTCTTCATCTTCATCTCCATCTTCATCACTAGTATCACCATAATGTTGCCATCAGTCCCAATTAGGATTACACATACTAGGATCTACATCACATATGAAGTGACTATTCACTTTATCGATATAAATAATTCTTCTATTAGGATGGAAAACATAAATAGGAATCCTTCCCTCCTTTGCAAGTGGAAGAATCATCATTAATTAGAATATTGAGGATGAACTGCTACTATAAGCTTCATCAGGTCTTTAGTTGAATTTCACTCGTAATACTATATTGACTTCGAGTTTTTGAAGTATTTCATTGTATTTATATAATATTTCTCAATAGCGCTTTGAATTACAACTTGTAGGATATAATTCAGTTTTTCATAAGTTCAAATTGACTGACTTAGTATAAAATTGATTTATAAAAGCTATGGTTGAATATAGTTTAAATATTTTATTTTCAGATGGACCAATTTAATAATAAAAAAAGGTATTATATCATCTTATAAAAAAAATCTTATAATGCCAAATTGACTCATAATTAAATTGGAGGTTTTTCTTTCTTTCTTTATTATTATTAATCTTGTTTAAAATGTGGAATTATTTTAAGTTTGAAATTTTAAAACATGTATTATATTGTTGTAATTTTTTTATCAAGACTGTAATTTTGTTTTTTATTTTTCTAGATATAACTTTTTATTTTTAATTTAATTGAATTCGGTAACTCGTAACAAATTAAATTGAACTGGCTAGTCCTTATTTAAAAAAAAATGAAAAGACAAATTAAATATATTTATTTTTTTACCAATTTCTATTAGTCAATCCA